CCCGCAGTATGCTATCCAAACCAATCAGAATGCAGCACGCCTAAATGGAGCACGAGAACAGAACAGACCGGGCGGGCATACAAACGTAACGCCAGGTTCACACACTCCGTCTGTGGTGTGTATTTTGTCCGTGCCCATGTTAACGGATCAGAGCGTTCACACTGCACGCGATTGCGGTCCGGCAGTGCGCTCCAGGAGCGGTGCGTCTGCAGCAGTCATGCTGCGATCGTTTCCGCACGGAGTCTATTTCTGCTGTGCTGCACGCGCTGAATTAAAGTGACAGCGCATTATTCGCTGTAAAAATTAACATGGATTGCCACGGAAATTTTGTAATTGCACCATAAATGCATATAATTAAAGTCTAATGGTTCACAGTCAACACATGGCTTTTTGGCTAGATTTAAAACCAGGAAAAGTGCACTTTTAGATAAACAAGGCAATAATAGATGACACTCGTGGTGGTAGTTAAACGGTTATATTTATTGAGTTTAAACGTGAATGTCTATGAAAGATTGTATTACTGTACTGTGATAAAAGAGAATCACAATGCTGAAAAAGCATTTTCAGAAACAACGTTTGGATTTGAAATCAAAATATTGGATAAATGTTGTGTTTGTGGTAAACAGGATCAGGAGCGGACTGCAAACGCGTCCTGTGCGAAAGCACAATGAGTCCGTGCTGCTTCTGCACCGCATACACATACTGTATACGCACTGCAGACGGAGTACGTGTGAACTTGGCGCAACAAATCTAGTTCAACATCTGAGGCAACGCCACAAAGAGCTCTGTGACCAATGCATGGCAAAAAAATCCCTGGACACGAGATGTTTTTTTTTTTCCTGCCATATGTCTATTCTAGAGACCTTTTGTTACACCTTTACTTAGTGATTATTTTGCCATATGTCTGTTCTAGAGACATGTTACAGCTTTTTGATAAAGCTCTAATTGGTTTTCTTTTGGAAATAAGTTTAAAATTCACACTGAATGCATTATTGACTGTAAAGCATGTCTGTGTGTCAAAATCGTGATTAAAATCGAAATTGCAAAATTGATCAAAGAAATCGCGATAGGTTTTTTTTGTCCATATCGCATAGCCCTAACACACACACACACACACACACACTCACTCACACACACACTCACTCACACAGACACACACACACACACACACACACACACACACAAGCAAACACAACCCATCTCTCTGACACACTCACATGCTGCCAGCACATCCTCCTCACATCCTCAAACACACACACTCTCACACACACACCTTCAGCCTTGTGCAGCTCCAGTGCCAGCTGCTCCCGAGCTCGCTCCTCCTCACACAGACGCTCCTGCAGCTCCTCCTGTCTGCGCTGCAGCTCCCCCATCTCCTCATTATGCCTGAACTTCTCTCTCATCAGCTCCGTCTGCGTGATTTCAGCATGCTCCAGCTGAAATAACGTGGTCAGTATGGTCAAAAACAGCTGGCATTAATCAGGCTTCTGCATCATGTAAACCTAATTCAGAATATACACTGTCATCAAAAACATTGGTTTATATCTGCACACGTTCAATAAAAAGCTGATCTGCTTCTATGAGACCCAGTCAGCGACTGAAGAGTTTCTGGAGCGAATTCTGTTATAGAAATATTAAAGAAATGAACAGACGAGCAGAGCATCATAACAGTCTGATGGCCTTCAATGTGATTTTGTGAGCTATTTTGAGGGTCATGAATGAGAAATAACTCTTTATTAAATTACTTTAAAGAATTGCTAAAAACATGTCATAATAAATGCCTAGATAATAAATTTTTACTGTTTTATTTTGGTTTGGATTTATTTTAATTTCACAATTTTATGACTTTATTAATTGCTAGTAAATGTTTTATTTTGATTGTTTTTATTGCAAAATCATTTATTTTAATTTAGCATTTTTATGCTTTATTAATTTTTTGTAAGTGTTTTATTTTTAAATAATTTATTTAATTTTTACCGTTTAATTTCGGTTGTTTTTATATTTTAAAATAATTTATTTTTATTGAGTGTTTTCCTGATTTTATAAATAATTTTATTAAGTGTTTTATTTTTCGATTGCTTTCATTTTAAAATCATTTATATATTTAAAATTTTACATTTATGATTTTATTCTTTTAAAAGTTTACGGTCAGTAAGATTTTTTTTTTTTAAGAAATGAATACTTCACATAAATAATCAAGGCTGCATTAAACTGATCAAAAGTGACAGTAAAAACATTACAAAAGATTTCTATTTCAAATAAATGCTGTTCTTTTGAACTTTCTATTCATCTGTGAATCTTGAAAAAAATCACAGTTTCCACAAAAGTTTTCAGTTTTCAACACTGATAATCAGAAATGTTTCTTGAGCAGCAAATCAATATATTATACTGATTTCTGAAGATCATGTGACACTGAAGACTGGAGGAATGATGCTGAAAATACAGCTGTGCATCACAGAAATACATTACAGTTTAACAGAGATTCACACAGAAAACAGCTGTTTGAAATTGCTAAAATATTTCACAATTTTTACTGTATTTTTGATCAAATAAAGCAGCCTCGGTGAACAGAAGAGACTCTTTCAGAAACATTTAAAAATCGTACTGACCCCAAACCTTTGAACAGTAGTACACATTATTGTTCATGCTACACACACACACAGTCTTGAAAACACAAATGAAAGCCACATTAATGTCAACAAGCTCGTATTTTTGTTCATGTGGTCACACATTCATGTGAAGCTTTTGAGGAGCTTCAACAAAAGCCAGGATTTCTGTGACACGACAGCGCACCTGATCTCGTATGACCAGAGTCTGAGCACAAAACACACACAAACACACCCAGGAATCTCATTACAGCCCAGCCAACGTCTACAAAAGCTCCCGAGACTCTTATCTCACTATACAGACACACACGCTGTAAAACCCTTTCCCTCTCAAACCGAGCGCACCAAAGGTCAAAACCGAGCTCTGGCATCATCCTCTTACTGTATACGGCGGCGTGGGCAGGGAGATCTTGGAGACGACTTTGAGAAGGTGGCTGTTGTCGCGCCGGTTGACGTGCGAGATCTGTGTCTGCACGACTACAGCGTTCTTCTCGTGAAGCAGGTGGCTCAGAGGGAAGGGTCGCGGCAGCGGGATGCGCGACTCCACCTCGTAAACATCCATGTCCTGGCTTTCCAGCCAGCTGTCGCGCAGGATCTGCGAATCCCAATACGCCCGATAGGAATCCATGTCGTCTTCTAAGCGGCGTCCTGCGAGAAGTTAGAGACTCGTCTCATCGTCGTCAGGCACAAATGAATCGGAGCGAACATCCCTGGGCTGAGCGAGCGTCTCTATGGAAGTGTCTCGGCGGAGGTAAACACACACAGATCTCACGTGGCCCGTCAGGAAGAACCAGCTTCAGGTAAACGATCGAGTCCCAGATGAACAAGTCGATCCGGAGAGGAAACTAAACTCCAAGCTGTTCCAGAAATCAGAGTTTGAAACACACTCTCTCGTTTACTTTTCCTCCCGCTGGAAACTCATTAACAATTCCGTGCTTCCGTGGCAACGGTCCTCTGGGAAAACGCAGGGCGAGAGAGACTCCCTCTGCACCTCTCTCTCTCGGTGTGTATCTCTCTCTCTCTCTCTTTTTCCCTCCCTTTCACTCCGTGTCTCTCTCTTTCTCTCTGTCTCTCAGTGTGTGTGTCTCTCTCTCTCTCTCTCTCTCTCTCTGTGTGTGTCTGTCAGCTGGAGCAAACACTTCCTGGTTTGTGGATATGTGTGGGATACGTCAACAGTAAAGGCGGAGTCATGAAGCCTGCAGGTGATTTAACACACACACACACACACACTCACATACTCTCTCTCACACACACACACACACACACACACACACACACACACACACACACACACACACACACTCACCCCCTCACTCTCACACTCACTCACACACACACACACACACTCACACACACACACACAC